TTATTGAATCATGAACTATATAGATATATGTATATATATTTTTTTAAGTCGGGTTTTTTTGCTAAAAATTACATGTTTTATTTATCCACCGATTTTCTTCTTTTCTTTTTTTTTATCATAAAAGAACCAATTTCTCTTGACGGTGACGTAACTTGGAAAAATGGTTTGCGCTTTTAACGTGGCCTTACCACCAAATTTCCACATATCCTACAATGAGCATCATGATCATTTTTGCCATTTTGTTTATTCATAACCTAAAGATGATTTAGGTAGGCGCACAGTGCCGCGAAGGTGGACAAAAATACAAAAATCGACTGTCTTGAAACTTAGATGTTTTGATGTCAAGTTACAGCTAAATCTCCAACTAAGAGAAGTTCATAAGTTATTTTGTGATAAAAACAACTTTCAGCCTCACACACCCCCTCAAAGTACACCTATTTTCTACATACCATTTCATTTCGGCGATTCGCACATAAAAGTGGTCGCAGTTAAAAATTTGTTAAAAATACATTTTTATTCCTAGCAAGATCAACTTTTGCACTTTGATAAAGATATATGCGACAAACCAAAAAATGTATGATTCATGGAAAAAAAATTTATACAAATATTTTTTTTTTATTAATAAATAAATATATGATTAAACATACCAAAATCCGAAAATTGGTAAACTTTGGAGACAAAAAAAAAAACATCTTGAAAGTTCGTGAAATTTTTTTTTTGGTTATGGTAGTTTGGACCTTCTACTAACAGAAACAATAGAAATCTCTTCCAACTTTTTCCAATATTTGAAAATTTTCAATTTTGAAAAAGTGACTAAATGCCTTTTTTTGGTATTATTTTAGCTGATCTATATTTACAATACTTTTTCTGAATGCCCTAAGATCTAAATTTTTGGTACGCTTTTCAAAAATAAGGTGTTGAATTAAAGCTAAAAGTGCAAAAAAAAAAATTAAGAGGTACAGGGTGCTTTGAAATGAAAAAAATTATCAGCTAATTAAAATACTTAAATATGCATCACGGTATGGGAGCCAAAAACAAAGGTATACGAAGATTTACATATATATATATATACATATATATATATATATAGAGTAATGACACCAGTTTACAAATAATATGTTAACCAATTCGGGTAAGGAAATAAATGCAATCGAGACACCTTACAGCGCCCAATGATTAGACGAAAGGCGAACAAAAAGAAAATAAAAATAAATAACATACCTATTACTCTTCATCTGCATAAAGAGTACTATTTTGCTTAAGCAGCAAACAAAAACAGCTTGCGAAAATGATAGTACAAATGTATGCACATCAGGGATGTCCAATTTTTTTATATATATTTTTTTTTTTTGATTGAGTCTTTTTATAATTTTGTTCACCTAACTAATTACATTATTTGTGCAAAAATTTCAACGTTTTACTATTAGTGGAAAATGTTGCTCAACGCGAGTTTAAAATTTCATGAATAAATTGTATTTGACATATTTTTTCTACCCATTTACACAAAAAAACAAATATTTAAAATATAAAACAACGATGGGCGCCCTTTAATATTAACCGATTTTTCTTAAATTTGAAATTTAAAGTGCATTAAGTATGCGTAACAATATACTGAACAAGCCAAACGGTTTTGGGAACATAACATTTTTTCATATAAACTTTAACCACCTTAATGCACATAAGTATATACGTGTGAAAGCAAGTGAGCGCAGCAGGTAAATCAGTACTTGTTTATCTCACTTCAAAATAAAGTATCAAAAGCAGAAACGTAAAACTTTTATAACAAATAAATAAAAATGTCAATTAAAATTATAAATAGTGATTTGGTAGATTTATGGTTAGAAACAACCCTTAAAGAAAGAATATCAATCACTTTTTCTTTTGTTTGTGAAAAGTTAACTAATGTTAAATTTGATAGAGATGCTGTGAGAAAAAAAGTTTATATGTTCAATGCTGAAATGAGCAGAAAGTGGAAGGAAGCTGTCTATATAAAAGAGCGATTTATTAATTTAAACTCTTCTTGGCTCCAATGGGTAGTCTTTGAAATTGAAGATCCCGATAATGTATTTAATGTATGCTTTGTAATTGAATATAAATTTCAGATTACCATAATGTATTCACTTAGGAAGTAAAGTTTAGACGAATTTTGACTATTAAGACAATTTTTCTGAACACTTAGCAACAATGATATGCCATATTTCATTTTTAAATAATCATGTGCAAAAACTCGGTGTTTTTTAATGGGTACCCGTTACAAAAAAACCGATTACTTTCTTAAAATTAGAGTAATATAGACACTTCAGATGTAAAGTTTCAATAAATTCTGACGACTCCTTCCTGTTTTCGTAAACACCACAATCAGCAATGATTATGCCTTATTTGTCTTTCATATAGTAATGTAAAAAAAAATCTTTTTTTTTTTTTTAATGGGTACCCGGTACCGAAAAATCGATTTCATTTTTGAAATAAGCATGGCTTAGTCCTTTTAGGTGTAAAGTTTCAACAAGTTCTGAATACTATTTCGGTTTTTATAAACATATGTCTATGATGATTATGAGTTATTTTACCTTTTTATAAAATTGTAAAAAAAAAAATTTTTTTTAATTAAATGGTAACAGATGCTGAAAAACGTTTTTTTTTTCTTAAATTGCCGTGATATAGTCCTTTCAGGTGTAAAGTTTCAGCCCATTCTGATGCCTCCTTCCACTTATATCAACACATGTCCACAATGATATTTTCATATAAAAATGCAAGAAAAACTCGGTTTTCTCGAAATTAGTAACCGGTACAGAAAAACCGATTTCATTTTTGAAATTAGAGGGGCATAAT